GCAGTGGTAAATGGGAGAGTTTCCTTAATTTCTCTTTCATATTTTTCATCATTAGTGTATAGGAATGCAAGAGATTTTTGTGTATTAATTTTGTATCCTGCTACTTTATCAAATTCATTGATTAGCTCTAGTAGTTTTCTGGTAGCATCTTTTGGATTCTCTATGTATAGTATCATGTCATCTGCAACAGTGACAGCTTACTTCTTCTTTTCCGATTTGGATTCCTTTTATATATTTTTTTTCTTCTCTGATTGCCGTGGCTAAAACTTCCAAAACTATGTTGAATAATAGTGGTGAGAGTGGACAGCCTTGTTTTGCTCCTGATCTTAGTGGAAATGGTTTCAGTTTTTCACCATTGAGAACAATGTTGGCTGTTGTTTTGTCATATATGGCCTTTATTATGTTGAGGTAAGTTCTCTCTATGCCTACTTTCTGGAGGGTTTTTTATCATAAATTGGTATTGAATTTTGTCAAAAGCTTTTTCTGCATCTATTGAGATGATCATATGGTTTTTCTCCCTCAATTTGTTAATATGGATTATCACATTGATTGATTTGCATATCCACAAGATTTTAATGCAACATACAAAGGCCACTAATAAGACAAGATATATGAAAGGAAAAATCTAGGACAAAAGCAAGATGAAGTCAGAAAAGTCAATTAAGAAAATGCATGTCTTGAAGTCCAATTTGACCTTCATAAGTTTAGAAGCCATTTTGAAAGGAACTTGTTATAACTGCACCCCCGTTCTTTTCAGTAAGACCCACTCAAATTAGATGAAGAAAATTGAGGAAGGGACATGTTTAAGAATCTAGTTCTCAAAAAAATTCTGAGAACAGAAAGTTGAAAGCATCAAGGCTTGAGGAGGGCTGCAGTCCTCTTTCTTTATTTCCAAGAGACCATCTTCTGTCTTTCTTCTTCTTTCTATCCTTCCTGTTTTCATCTGACTTCTACTCATTAACTTTGCAAATGACCCCAGATGGCGACTACTGTTGAGTTTCCATAACCTTTCTGCGTGTCCTACTACAGCCAATTAGCTCAACCTCTCAGTGTCATTTGCAAATCGTTTGGAAAGAAAATTTATAAACTTCTCTTGGGTAAGGTGCCCAGTCGAGGCCAATCATTTCTATGAGTGAAGTCATGTAATTCAGCTCCATTTGGGCCAATTGTGCCAGCATATTGGAGGAGGCACAGTGTACAGAGAAGAAGGCTTTAGGAGGGATTGTATCTGTTATAGAAATACCTCTCTTAAGTTCCATCAGTGCTTCAATGAGCCCCTTCTGGGTCTTGGTCCCCTTGGAGAATCTGATGGAAGACAGAGATCTTCTCACCTTAAAAATCTCCTGAGGCACAATCAAAATTTTGCATGTAGTTTAGATGAGTTCACAAGACTCCTGAAATTTGACTTATGTGACTTGAAATGTCCATAACACAAGTAAGCCAACTATTTAGGAGAAACATACCTCCATAATATCCAAATGATGACGAACAGTTAAAAACTATACTTTGAGAATAGAATTTAAAAGCTTCTAAGTCCTCCCATACAGCAGGCTCTGTGCTAGGTTCAGTAAGGAACAGAAAGTGGAATGAGACAGGATTTCTTCCCTTAGGGAGCGCACAGTCTTCTGAATACATATGTAAACAATTAGACTTAATGCCAGACATTCTGAACTATAGCAGCAATATGGGTAATGTGCTGAGGAAACTCTGAGGAGGTAATGATTAATTCTGAATAAAATATAACACTTCACAAGTTTTTATTCCTCTGCATGCAATGTGATATATATATATCACCATTTTAAAGAAACCTAGACAATTCAGAAAAGTTCTTCTAGTTGCTGATAAACTGTTCTGCTGCCTGAGCTTGTATTCCAGGGCTCCTCATTTTATTCTTTTCAATTCATGAGCTCCAAACCACTGCAATCTGCTGTAGAGCAGAGAACATGGGGCTTTACAGTCAGACATACTTGAGTTTACATCACCACCATGTCACTCACTAACTATGGGTCTTTAAGCAAGGGATTCTAGTTCTCTGAACATCAGTTTCTTTACTGGTAAAGAAAAATACCTATTTCGCATTGCTTCTTAAAGAAATAATGATGATGTTTATAAAACACTTAGCACAGCCTCTGGAACCTAGTAGGGACTCTAAAATGGTTGTTTTTATTTTTATTTATAGTCAAGTATACAGATTCCCTGTCAGGAAGTATTAAACATCTCTATTAGGGAAAAAGTGAGAATAATCTCTATGTAAGGATTCTGTATCAATTGCCACAGTAATTGCCATAGTAATGCTGCATAACAAACCACTCTCAAAACTCAGTGGCTTACAATAGCCGCTCGTGGTTTTATAAGTTGACTACCCTTCAGTTGATCTAGGTGGGCTTACCTGAGCCACTCTGCTTAGGATGTAGATTAGTTGGTCTTGGTCCAGGCTTTGTGTTTAATTCAGGTTTGTTCCTCATTTTTCTTTCTGGGGCTGGACTGAATGGACAAACGTGAGCATGCTATGAGTACAGATCAAAGACAGCAGAGCCAGAGAGCAAGCCCAGCCATGCAAGCATGCCTCAAAGCTGCTAACATCTCTCTGGCCAGAGAAAATTACACAGAAAACACCATAATTAAGGGGAGATAAAGTACACTTTGCCACAATGAGGCCAATAATTCAATCTTCCACAGTCCCTGTGTAAAAGAAAAGGCAGAAACTACAATGAACATCTGAGAAAGAGAAGACCAAAGAGGTAGAAGCCAGATGCCCAGAGGTGCAATTACACGTCTTTCCACTACCCACAGCCTCTCTATGAACTCTGTGGCCACATTCTACCTTGGATACTGGACTGCAGAGAGAACTCCAAGCACTGCAGCCTCTGCTTTCTATGGCTGCAGAGCGGTCTCCTTGCACCCCTCCGCCAGTCTTGACCACAGTCCACATTGTGTACCTCTTCTCTGTGTGCCCATGCAATGACTTCTGACACCAACTACCTGGAGCTGGGCCAAACCTCACAGGTTAAGGGACAGCCTTCACAAGACTGCCTTCACTTTAGGCACCAGCTGTGAGTTTGAGGGTCCCAATGCCACTTACACTTCTGATGTGCTGGTTATAAATGTGGGCATTCTCACTAGTCCCTCAGGTTCAATCATTTGCAACAACAACTCACAGAACTCAGGAAAGTGCTATCCATCTGATTACAGTTTTATTATAACAAAAAGATATAAATCAGAACCAATCAAAGGGAGAGATATAAGGGCAAGGTCTGGGAGGATCTCAAACATGACTTTTCCATTGTCCTCTCCCTAGGGAGTCAGTCTGCCTTACTCTCCTGGCACGTGGATGTGTGACCATATGCAGAGTATTGCCAAACAGGGAAGCTCACCTGAGCTTTGGTGTCTGGAGTTTTTATTGAGGTTTCATCGTAGAAACATGATTGATTGAATCATTGGCCATGAGGTTGAGCTCAGTCTCCAGCTCTCTTCTTCTCTGAAGGCCCCAGCTCTCTAATCATACAGTTGGTGTTTTGGGCATGGCCAGCTCCCATCCTGAGCCATCTCATTAGCACAAACTCCCTTTAGGCCCACTATGAACAGAAGGGATACTCCTATCAATCAGGAAATTCCAAGGGTTTAGAGGATATATCCCAAGAAGTGGGGACAAAGGCCAGTCAAACTTTTCACTCCAAGGGTCCACCTGAGACAAAGGCTAGCCACATTCTTTATTACACACCCCATCTGTGTTTTCCACTGGACTTCAAGCTCTTTAAAAGCAGAGGAGATGTCCTTCTCAACTCTGCATAACTCACAGCCGCTAGCCCAGCACCCTCCTGGGAAACACTGATTAAATTGATAAAGGTAAAAGCTTTAGACAGTCAGAGAGATTTAGGATAAATGAGATGGAAGAGCCTTTGGAGACCATTTAGACATTCCAACACATTCGTTCTATGCATGAGAAAATGAAGAACCAAAGAGTGTTTGTGATAACCCCAGAACACGCATTGACCAAACTAAAGACCTGTTTTAGAGTTCTATTATCTAAAACTGGACACTCAATCCCCGCCGTCCTGCCTTTACATGCATGAACACAGACCTAAGGATACATACCTCACTTTCTTATATCAAAGAAACCAGTCATAAGCTATGAAAAGGGGAGACGTAACAGATGTAAAGAGCTGAAACATCCCGACCTCCCCATGCTTCTTTCCTGCTCTGCCCTGAGAAGTAAAGTACATTCCATTTTCATCAGTTTGTTAGCATATAAGGCTTCTAAGATGGATGTAATCATCTTTTTCTTTTTCTTTTTTTTTTTTTGTGGTTCTGTTTAATCCCTGACCATTGCCAATCCCTTAAATGTTAAAAAATAAATCCTAGGACCAAAATATATTTTAACATCCCCATCTGGAGGGAAGATTTCTTTAAGTTCTTTTTCCCAACTAATTCTAATGTGCTCTAGCAGTCTTCCAATTACACACTTGTCCAGGAGGGAGCAGAACATACTTCTAGCATCTATCCTGGTACACTGAAGTGCTCAGAGAATGTTGGCTAAGTGAATAATAGAGTGAGTGTTTTTTTAAAAATTTCCCAGCATACGAAGATTAGTCCAGTTAGATGCCTCCTTACTCTCTTCATCTTAACTCTCCACTTTTCCATCATCACTGAGAGATAACAGTACTGTTATCCATGTGGAAAGTCATCTTTCTCTTTTACATACCATTCCTAGCCAGTCTGGTTGTGGAGAAAATATTTGCACTATGCAATATGGTACATGTATTAATTATAGAACTTTTGAACCCATTAATTTTCATTTCAGAAGATGAAACCAAAGCATGGAAGAGGCAAAGGCTGGTAGCATTGGACGTGCAGCTAGGCAGTGAGCTTACCTAGATGTAAACCCTCAATCCATGTTTGCTGAGTCTGAATCCTAACACAAGACTCAGGGTAACATGCATCTCAATCTTTTATTCTCAATAATGAAATTGTAACATGGAAAAATGCATTTGTCTTTTCAGTGAGCTCAACTCATGCCTACCCAAAGCTGGCTCATACCAACCAGCAGGACAGCTCCTTTCTCCCCCTTTGCTATTGTCAGTCTTTTTAAACACCTGCTTCACCTGCATTGCGCAGGTCTGTGCATTTCTCTGTGTGAAGCAGCAGCCCTGGTATTGTGAGGTCTACAGACACAGGTCAAGTTTGGTTTCTTAGCTTTCCTTTCTGAAGGTGGTACAATGAACACCCAATGACGCTGTTCAACTTGGTTTGAATATGTATTCTAAACTTTTAATTAACCAAAGTTGTTTCCAGACTGCAAAACGCCAGTGATGGGATAGAACACAGAACAGTCAATGGGTGGAGTGCTGGAGTGAGCCATGTGGAGTGGGTGGGGAAAGATCTTCACATTGGCTGTTGATGCATAGATGTAATGGCTGGTTGACTGAATGAATGTATTCATTTGCTGGTGGTTTGGACATCATATAGACCAGGGGTCAGCAAACATTTCTTGTAGATGGCCAGGTAGTAAATATTTCGGGTCTTGTGGGCTCTGTGGTCTCTGTTGGAACTACTCAACTCTGCTGTTGTAGTGCAAAAGCAGTCAGAGACAACCTGTAAACAAGTTAGTGTGACTGTGTTCCAATAAAACTTTATTGACAAAACCAGGTGGTGAATCGGATTTGGCCAATAGGCTATAGTTAACCAGTCACTGATATACAAGAGATTTGCTTAAATTAGTTTCAGTTTTTCAAATGAGTGTTAAAATGTTCATTGATGGTATCATTGTTCTGACTGAATCGAACAGTAGACTCAAGGCAAATCTCTTCACCTCCCAGGGCTTTAATTTCCTTAACTATAAATTAAGGGTAAAATGAGGTGAATTTAGATGTTCAAACATTTTTTTGACAAAGGCTGCCTGACTTCCAAAAGGAAAGGCAGAAAGAGCTGCTTTTTTTAAGGTGGGGCTTTTACAAACTCCCCCTCGCTCCACTGTCATCCTGAGGGCATCAGAGCCCCAGGGATCAGTGAAGGACAGATTGAAAACTACAAAACGATGTCTAAGACTATCATTTAGACCCCCAATTCAGCAATTCAAGCATTACTTAGAATACAGAATTGATTTTTGTTTCAAAACCAGACTTTTCCCCAAATTGGAGTGCACGTATTCAGAGAAGTGACCTTTTGATTGAATCTAGGAAACATGGTATAGCCAAAAGGGTGATGGATGGGTAGTCCTATCTCTGTCATTAACTAGCTATGTCATTCTAGCCTTCAACTTTTTTTTATATATAAATTTATTTATTTTATTTATTTATTTTTGGCTGTGTTGGGTTTTCGTTGCTGCGTGAGGGCTTACTCTAGTTGCGGTAAGTGGGGGCTACTCTTCATTGCAGTGCGCAGACTTCTCATTGGGGTGGCTTCTCTTGTTGCAGAGCATAGGCTGTAGGCATGCGGGCTTTAGTAGTTGTGGCTCATGGGCTCGGTAGTTGTGGCTCGAGGGCTCTAGAGCACAGGCTCAGTAGTTGGGGCACACGGGCTTAGTTGCTCCGTGGCATGTGGGATCTTCCCGGACCAGGGCTGGAACTCGTGTCCCCTGCATTGGCAGGTGGATTCTTAACCACTGCACCACCAGGGAAGCCCTAGTCTTTAACTTTTTTATCTGCCATGTAAGTATACTGGATTGGATACATTTTGGTGTTAAATTCTGTAATTCAGGCCTTCTGGTCTGTCTGTCCTCTTTATGCAAGAAAGCTTTGTGACTGCTGATTGTTTCATTAATTTATTCTACAGAGAGTAACTGAACATCTACTGTATGCAAAGCACATTTTGGGAGCCTAGGGAGCCAAGGATAATATGACTTAAGTCTTGCATTTGAGTTCACAATTGAAAAATGAATTTTATCTATAAACAGTTATAATAGTAGTAAAAAGTTTCAAGCTGAACAAGAGAGCTGATGAAAACAAGTTTATTTTTGGGCTTGATTATTGAAAAAAAAGAATATTACAAATGGATCAATCCAGAATGGGAAAGCCCATGTCTTAAAAAAAATATTTTTCTGAGCAAATATCATGTGGCATCCCTGTGCTAGGTGCTAAGGATTTGTTATATAGTTGAGTAAAACAAACAAACAAAAGTAAAACCAAAAGAAATATTCCCCATTCAAAGAACTCTCATCCCAGGGGTGGAAAATAAAAATATGTGAAGGAATAACTGCAAAACAACGAGCTAAATGCAGCACTAGAGAGAAGAATGGGGAGCACTAGTTATGCTTGACTGAATGTAAAGATGTTTCAGATACAGTGATCTTAGAGGAAATAGGATATCTGGACCCAGAGGTGTACAAACTGGGGAACAGGGAATATTTCCCTATGACTGGAATATAAGGGCATGGGAGGTCTAGCAAAAGATGTCTCAAATCGTTCCTTGTCACCAGAGTGTGAAGGTCTTCTGGGCCTGCCTGAGAAGTCTGAACTTAATTTATTAGCAAAATAGAAACACAGACACTCATAAGCAGGAGAATGTTCAGATCCTCAGGAAGAGGCTTTGCTTGTGTGAGGAGAGTGGATTAGAGTGGGCACATTCAAACTCAGGACCCATGTTAAGAGGCTTACATTAGTCCACTAAAGCAAACACACCACACACACGTGCACACACACACACACACACACACACACACACACACACACATAGAGTTCATATGTTCCGAACTGAAAAGGATTCCATAGGAAATTGTCATCCAAGCCCTTTCAAGACAGATCATTTGCTCCAGATGGAATTCTGGACAAAGAACAATCTTGACTTCCTCTGCATTTTATTCATGCTTTGTCGTTGCAAGTGAACAAAATATGTCCTGGTAGTTACTGGCTGGAACAGCTTGCAAGGTGAGGTCTCCTGGTTGTGATTAACTAATTTTTTCCTACCAGTACCAGTTGGATAAAAATAGAATTAAAAGTTCCGTAAATGCTGGTGATTCTTTTCTAGTAAGTGCTTTCTGGACAACCAGAGTAATTTCTCAACAAATGTGAGTTTGGAAAGAAACTGGACTGGAAATGCAACTCTGATTCCCAGTTCAGTTTTAAGTTTTGAGAGTACCACGCTATGGCCCATCACCACCATCAACTGTATCTCAACAACATTTATCTTTTCTAAGGGAAAGCCATTTCGAAAACCCATCTATACAAACTGTAACTATGAAGTTTAATTTTTCTTTTCAAACATTTTTTTCTACTCTCCCACCATCCCTAGAATTGCAACTCACTGGTGAAGTGATTGGCTGAGAAGGAAACAATTGCATTACTCTAAAATTGAGTACTGAACCATAATTGTCACAGGTAGTAGAGCCCATGGGCAGAAACCTGCTCATGTGCACGTAAGTACTATAAGTGCTATATTGAATGGTCACGAGTCCTGTCCTAATCTGAGTCATCAAGAATTGTTTTAAGCACATACACTTATGTCAAGATATTTTGTAAAAGGCTTTCTAACCAATTCAAATACAATTTGACCCCTTAGTAGTTTTATAACTTTAGGCAAGTCACTTTAATCATTCTGTGCATTTTTTTGATCATCAGTGACAATGAATGTATTTTCATGTTATTAGTCTTTCTTCTTCTCTGAATGGTCTACATTTTATATCCATTTTTTTTTCTTTTTGGCGGCTGTTATATTTCTTATTTATTTGTGAGTTGTTTATTCCTTTGTGATTTTTTCCCACTACCTTTATTCATAAAGAACTTTTTTCTCATTACAAAACCAGATAGATCATCACTCATTTAGTTTTTTAATTTATTTTAATGCTTTTTAAATCTAATGTTAATTTTGGCATATAGTTTGAGGTAGAGATCAAACTAGTTTATCCAACTAGTCACTAGTTCTCCCAGCAGATTTTATTATTTAACATTCCTTTTGGTCATTTATTCAACTGAATATAATTCCACCTTTATCATACCTATATACATGTATATTTATGGTTTTCTGATATATATAATTTATATGTTTTCGTATTATATTTATGTTACATATTAATTTATATATAATTAAGTTATTTCTCGACTGTCTTTTATGTTTCATTGATAGGCCAGCCTATTCTTTAATCTACTATTATACTTTAGAAATTATAGTTTTATAATGATTTAATAAGTAATAAGATTGGTATATCATCATTACTCTTCATTTTTCAAAAATCTCTTACTTTTCTTTCTTCTCCATTCTTCCAAATAAACTATAGAGTAAATTGCCAGGCTTTTAAAAAAATCTCCTTTGGGATTTTAATACTAGGAGAAAAATGTATTTGTTTACACAATTTAGTATTCACACTTAAGACCATGTCATGTCTTTCTTTTATGTCTCTTAGTAAATATTTGTAGTTTCCTCCATTATAGATCCTGCACATTTATTAAAAACACTAATCCTATGCTTTTCATATTTTTGTTTATATTGTGATTGACTTTTTCCCATGATATTTTCTAATCAGTGATCACAAATACATGTGAAAGGTATAGTGTTGTTTATTGTATTTATTTTTCTACTCCGAATCCTTTCTGAACTTTGCTGTAAATCCTTGATTTTTGAGTGTTCTAGAAAGATAATTACTATTATCTGCAATTAATAATGTTCCTCCTTTTCAGTAGCGAAAATGCTTATTTATATTTTCTGTTTTGGTGTACAGTCCAGAACTTCCAAGGCAATGTCAAGCAATAGTGGAAATAGCAGATAGTCCTACTCCCTTATAAAAATAGTTCTAGTAGTTTTCAGTTGTAAATATGATTTTGAATATTGGTTCAAGGTGAGCCACATCATGTAAAGAAAATACCTTCTATTTCCAGTAAATCAAGATTATGTTTTAAAACAAAAAATGGGGGGCTTGTCTCCCCAAATCACCTGTGCAAACAGAGCCCATTCTTTCAACTTTCCTCATCAATAGCAACTAACCAAGGAGGGCAGCATTCACTTCAGTTCTTTATTACGTTTTCCAGTCAAAGCTGAATTAAAGAAGAGAGGCTTATCATTTTGTTTCTACACTGCTCAGCTGTGCCCTAGCCTGGCCTGCTTTTCAGATCACTAGTCTGAGTACAGTGTGATGTGCACGGCAGTCAGCCCAGTTCCAGTGAGTACCAGGCCTTCATCAGGATGGACACTTGGGCATCATATTCTTCCCAGCATCTGGGTCCTTGGGACTTGGAAACAATGAAGTAAGTGAAAAATCCATACAGCCATCTCCTGGGGGTATTCTCATCACCAAGCTGCTCAGATTGCTTTATTTTAGGAGATGCAGCTCCCTCTTTTCTTCTGTCTCACACCCCTCTCAAGCAAGCCAGGGCATTCTTCCAAGAGGTTCTACCTCTAGTTGTATATATAAAATAAGGCATGGATGAATATGAGGGTGGGTGTAGGTGGTGAGGGGGAAAACCGAGCCCTTGTGGCTTCAAAAAGTAGGGTCTGCTGTAGAAGGACAGTTGCCTCTGATTTCTGGTTGGTATAGACCTCTATGGAGTTGGGAGCCAATAGACCACCAACACTGGAATAAATGAGGTAGAGAGAATATAAGAGAAAATCTAATTTGTTTGCTTATAAATTTTGAGCATTGTAAGAATCATTTATATCATATCAACACTGATTAAATGCTATTGTTTCAGCCTGAAGGTGTTCATCCCATCAAAGAGCATTTATAAGGCACCGTCTACAAAGCACCTGAAAATTCTGATGGACACAGGAGTGCATGGGTTTGGGGGATAAGAACAGGGACGTTGGCACAGTGCATACTGAGAAGTTGAGCACCCCAAAGTAAAGCAATGTGGGCAGGTTGGAGATAAAGAAGCCAGCAGATGTGCATGCTAGTTTCTCACTTCCTCATTCAATTAGAGTCCCAGAAAAGCAGATAAAAAGTCCCTTTCAGGTGGTTACAGCCTAGTGGATACATAAATGAAGACCATGTAAAGCAGAGTGATAGACACCATATGAAATAAAACTTGGTAAGGGAAGACTGGGGAGTCTTTAAAAGAAAGTGGTGTTGGAACTGGGCTTTCTAAGAAAAATTGGGGGTTTCTCTGGTGGCGGAGTGGTTAAGAATCCGCCTGCCAATGCAGGGGACACGGGTTCGAGCCCTGGTCCGGGAACATCCCACATACGGTGGAGCAACTAAGCCCACGAGCCACAACTACTGAAGCCTGCATGCTTAGAGCCTGTGCTCCGCAACAAGAGAAGCCACCGCAATGAGAATCCCGAGCACCACAACGAAGAGTAGCCCCCGCTCGCCGCAAATAGAGAAAGCCTATGCGCAGCAACGAAGACCCAACGCAGCCAAAAATAAATAAATAAATTTAAAACAGAAAAAGAAAAATTGGAACTTGCCAAGACTGGGAGAATATCATCTATGCAGGGTATTTTATGAACCAAGGCACAGAAGTGTTGGGCCTCTGTCGAAGCAGCAGGCTTGTGGTTTAACTTTCCTGGCACATAGGGAAGAGCAACCAGAGATCAGTTTAGAAAGGCTGATTGGAACCAGATTGTGGAAGGCCTTGAACGTCAATCATTCAAGACCCTTGGACTTTATTCTCTAGGCAATGAAGAAGAGTGAGGTGTCACCAAGAAGAATGACTGTTTATTTATTCATGAACGACACTAGACCTGAGGTGATAAAGCATCAGGATCTCTCTGGTGACCATTTACGTGGGCTGGTCACTGCAGGGTGTCCCAGCCCCAAGGACACCTCAGTTGAGGTAACTCCTTTATGGAGTTTACTAGAATACGTTTAATGAACAGCTTCTAGGCTCAGCCTTTGAAGGAAAGATTTTTAAGATATCACCTTTGTCTTGCAAGCATTAGAACATATTTTAAAACATATGAGGATATATCAAAACATCTGAAGATGTATCTGGTATTTGCCCAACAGAGATAATTGATTCTGCAACGTGTGTGCCAAATTATAGGAAACATTCCTTTAGCATCTAAAAATACCGTTTGCTGTTTCTTCAGATATATTCTCACTTCTGCTGGTATCTGCCTTGGGCCTCACAATTTCCATTCTGTTTTCTGATTTTCAAGATATATACCATGGGACGGAGGCACAAGACATCCGTGACTCTCATGTGCAGTGGGACCACATCTGCACTGTAATTTGCAAGTCATTTACTCCGATATCCTCTCTGGCCACTGAATGTTGTGAGGCTATTCTCATTTACTAGAAGAGCAAATAACATGTCTCCATCGCACACACGCTAGCCTCTGAGTGTTTTCATGTTATTAGGGTCATCAGCTGGGTTCATTTGTTCTGTTCATACCTGGAACACCAGGTTTGGATATTTTATTCTTCCATGTTATACTAATACAATAATTAATCCTTCAAGTTTATTTTTTAAATCATATAGTAGAAATCCTTTATAATGTAATTGTGAAGAGTGAGAAAGAATAGACTTATAGGACAATCGTGTTCTGTCTGTAAGGCAGTAGTGGGCATCACTGGACCCAGGGTGCACTGGGTTAAAATTAAATTTATTAAGAAGTTATTGAGCCCATTTTTGGACCCAGCATTGTGAGAGGAATAAAATAAAGAGAAAGATTGACTCTGGCCCTCTACCTCTTGTTTTGTTTCAAAGATGAGCCATACCCAAGTGAAACGATGGCATGGCCACCTGAGGCCGTCCATGCTTGAAGAGAGTGTAAACTAGAGAGAAGTGGGAAGGACAGAGGAAGGAGGAGCTCTCCCTGGGGCAGGATCCTCCTGCCGTAGGAGATTTCAGGCAGGAGATGAAACTTGATCTGTGTCCAGAAGGATAGGCTAGATTTTGCTAAGTAGGAGGCGGGTATAGTCCCAGGCAGGACAACAGCCTAAGCACAAACAGAGAGGGGCTGAATGATTCTCTTTTGCCTTGGAAATGCAAAAGAATGTAGGGTGGCAGAGAGAAAAATCAAAAGCAAGCCTTGTTTCACAGAACACCTGGAAAATTAGCTAAGACTGAGGCAGCATGCTGCGGAATAGGCACGGATGGAGGTAGGCGGACAGTGATGTTTTGACTCTATGCTGAGAACAATGGGAGTCCTTGAAGATACCGGGGCAGGTTTTTCAGCGGGGCACCTAAGACAGATTCGTTAGATGACAGCAGGAAGGCTGTATGTGAGAGCAGAGAGGCTGTGGAGAGAGAAGCAGTTAGGAAATGAAAACCCAGACCATTCAGTCATTTACAAAACATCAAGCTCCAGGATGGGTTTGGCACTGGGGTTACAAAGAGTAAGATGTAGTCACCACTCTCAAGTAGCCCAGAAGCTAGGAGCGGAGAGCATCACAGAAGCAAATTCCAAAGCAGTGTGGCCAGTGCCTTCCAGGCTAACAGGTGGAAAAGAGACCTCCCAGATCAGGGTGGTGGCAGCAGGAGGGAAAGGGCCAGTCTATCCACTACCATCTGACCCACTGTCGAATCTTACAGCCTTCTCCAGACCACCCTTTTACCCAGGAAGCCTATTTCACAACCCTAAAAAAAGCTGTCTCCACTTAGGGGAAAAAATAACATAGTGTTACTTTGAAATAACCCCTATCAGAATAGGGATGAGAATCAAAGGTGAGCATTTAGACACTGCGGAAGTTCTGTGGCTTCAGTCCTAAACACAGCCCACCCTCTTCACAGTCTACGTATTCTATACACTTTAGGGTCTGAAAAGGAGCTGCATAACTATTCTTTTGCTATGGAAGCAGCCATGGAAAGTTGTAGCTCTCACACCTATTAAATAAGTGTCCATGGAAAGTTGTAGCTCTCACACCTATTAAATAAGTGGTGGTCAAGGTGTATCCTCTAATCCTTAAAAGGAGGTGGGTTGGGCAGGTTCAACTTTCATCAAGCCATTAGATTTAGGGCTGGGAACATTATTCAAAATTTTTTCACCTAGTTCCTATCAAAATAAACGTGAACTTCTGTCCCCCTTTTGTTTCTTTAACTCATATGTCAATTTTACTGAAAGAATGAACTCCAGGTAGCTTTTGCTTTGGGAGAATTAGAAGTAATAATATGATTAGATGAACGATTTAATCTTCCCTCTATTTGAGAAGATAAAAATGAAGAGAGACACACAGGCTCCAGAGTGTCCAGTCTCATGTCTGCGACCCAGGGCACGTTTACTCCATGTCTATTGTCAGGCAGTGGAGGGAACACAGGGCAAGAGGTAGTCAGATCTGATTTGAATTCTGGCTGTGCCATTTATTTAGTGGCATTGATTCCTTGGGCAAGGTACTGACCTTCTCATCTGTAAAGTGGAGAGAGTAATGCCAACCCTCCAAGCCCAAACAGTTATTACAAATACATAAATTAAATTAGATAATAGGTGTTCTTTTGAAGTGTAAGGTATGCAAAGTATAAAGGTAGCATTTCTTTTTCAACAGTTCATCCTAACCATCACATCATGGAGGATTGCAATTTTGGTGGCAGCCCTCACCCAATTCTGTGTGGCCTTCTTTGTAGAGGTAAAGAAATCTCTGTATAGCTCTTATTATGTTTCTGGGGAGATAAATAAAGGACTGACTCTCAACAGATGCTCAGTTTTTAGAGCAATCACTTTAATCCCCCAAAGTGATACTGCACATGTTCTCTTTGGAGAAATGAGAAATTCTTTGAAGGCTGCCTAGAAATGCTCTCAGTATCTGTAGTGTAGAAAGCAAAACATCAAATTAACTAATTTTGTCTCACATGAAGGCATTGTATTGTACTTTCCTAGTATTTTTAATAATCTGGTAGAGACTAGACCAGGTGACCTTCTAGCTCTAAAATTCAATGAGACCTTTTAGAGTGAAGAAATGTCTTCAGGAAGTCTTCCTTAATTAAGAGAGAAGGGAAGCCATTGCTCATTCTAGTCAATTCTTACCCTTTGAAGGTCTTCTCCTATAGCATTTCTCTTCTACTCAGTGTCACTAAATGACTTTATCTACTCAGTGAAAGGCTCAGGTACTATTTTTTAAGGGACAGTTAAATAAAAAGATTCATGTACTGAAGTTCCTTGGGAAAAGGCATCGACCAAATTAAGAAAAAATATGCTTATATACAAATATCCCATTGTACACAAGGCACATAAAATTTCTCACAGTCAAAGGAATTCCATTTTTGAGACTTTATTTTAGAAAACAACCTAAAAAGAGAGAAGAAACTTGTATGTATGAAGGTTTTCATCATAGTATTATCTACAGTGGTAAAATATTAAATTCAACTCAAGTGTTCAGAAGTAGAGATGCTGTTTAAATAAATAGTAATACAGCAATTTGAAGAGATGTTATACAATCATTAAAAATGATTATTGAGAAGATGGTAGCTACAAACTGTATATGACAGAGAGTCTAGTATAAACAAAAGTGGAATGCAAGATTTGACCAATTCTATTATTATAAATGCATAAAAATTGTGTGTACTTGTAAGCACAGAAAAAAGAGACCCCACCCCCAAAATGGAAAGCAAAACCCATTTGCTTTCTAGAGTTCATTCATTCATTCAACAAACCATTATTTGACACCTTCTTTGTGGCATGGGGCAGGTAGCAGTGATTTTTTTCTTCTCTTGATTTTGAGTACATTATTTTGTTATCATTTCAGTCCGGCAGTAAAATAATTCTAAGTGAATTGCCAGCCAGGATTGAACTAGGAAATCTGTGGAAATGAAAGGCTGTAAGCTTTTGGAGATTTCTGTGAACACAAGCACGCTCTCAATTCTCAAGGGAAAGAACCCGGGGAGCTGCTAGGTTTCGTGGGGCTGCAGAGAGAAGGGGCCACAGCATCAGTAATAAGCACCTTTAGAGCAAGGCCTGGGAAAACAAGGGGTGGCAGTAAGCAACCTGGCTGCCAGGGGAAGTGGATGATGGTTTAATTGTTTTTTCCACCTGATTTTCCATCCTTCAAAATCGAGAGCTCTGGCTACTGATCAAGAAAAAATGTGGAATCCATTCTAAAAGTCAATATAAGAACTGGCAAAAAAAAAAAAACAAAACTGGCAGAAGACCCAACCTGGCCTCCCACAAACAGGACAGATTATTCAGGCGATGGCACAAATGGATTCTACATCAACCAAGGCTATGAAAGCTCTGAACAGATTCCAAAAGAAAAACTCGAATTGGGAGGCCAAACCACAGAGCAACATTTTTGGACCAGATTGTAATCAGAATTGTTAACAGCATCCCTCTTTTACCCAGAAACTAAAACACTGTAGAGAGGTGATGATAGTCTACCCTTATCTTTTCTTTCTCCATCTGAAGATTCAAAGTGCACTTCTCAGTGTATTGGGCCTTGCAACAAAGGCCCTTAAATATGTTTATTTTGACTGTATCCTCTACCATTGAGAAAAATAATGCATTTCCTAGAGTATCGGTTTTTTTCTAACAAACTTTATTCACAATGCATAGCATTATCCTGGTTAAAATGCACAACTTTTCATGGTAGTAAAATTAATAGTATGAACATCAATAGAAGAAAGGAAAAATGAAGGACAGTTTGATCTTTGAAAGTTTCATCAACATATTTTTACGTTCATCTATGGAAATAAAGGAATCTGAAAAAAAAATCTTCTCTCAATAAATTGTCACATGTTTACTTAACGTTATATTCACTTGCAAAGAACATTTATGCATATATCTTTTCCCAAGGTCACAGAATCCCTCGTTTTGCTTCTTTATATGGTTTTAATAGAGAAACAAGAATTGAAATTTACTTCAGAAAATTCAGCTCTAACGGTGGTTAAGTGTGGAAGTGGAGAATGATGGCGGTGTCTGATAACTGCCTATAATCTTGGCTTGGGTACAGCTAACATCTAAGCAATCTCCACCGATGTTGGCATCTCCCAAAGTATATTGTTTTGGGGCCTGTGAGTTAGAAGGTCCAGAGTAGATCACAAAGGTAATGAAATAAACTATTAAAATGTACTTTTCACTCAAAGAAGCATGGCACCTTTATTTGCTTTTTATTACTGACAGGAAAATCTCAAGTTCTAACTCCAAAAGTTGGCCCAGACCCAGCATTGCTCATCTTAAAAGAAGCAATCTTAGGGAAGGGACCCATAATGTTTGTATCTACAGCATGACAATTCTCAGGATGCTAAATGACTTAAGTTCCATTTCATCTTTTCATAATCTAAATCAATTATCAGATGCGCATTAAGGACCACAAGAACGGGTACATGCTTTACAAATATATTCTGCACTTTATTACCTTTAACATATATCAACCTCACTGTGACCTTGAGAGGATATTTATTCCTAGTGAACATTTTAAATTCCCTACTAGGATTTCCTTGTAAGCATAAATCTAATTTTGCTAATTAAACAGATCTTTAATGGGTCATAGGCAATTAGTTAACCAGTCCCATTCTAAGAGTGCCCATTACGTGCCTAATGCTGTGATGCATGGATTCAATCATGTCTTTACAATTCTGAAATATTTAGGATTGAAAAAATGTTTTCAAATTTCAGTAATTCGTTGCTGTAAATAGTATTATATGCTTTTTACACAAACCAGCAGCATAAATGCAAATTCCTATTCAAACAAACATTTTATATTTTATTTTATTTTCAATCTTTTCTTGGATGTGCAGCTCTTGGAGACTGACAATTTTTAAATGTGTCTAATTTAGCTTATGATTAAGAAATACATGTCAACCTAAAACACGGCAGCTCAGGTTCCTTGAGCTGAAATATCTGTATTTAGTAATTTGACCTTTAGAACGAGAAGATTCAATTGATACACTATGACATGTAGATAGCATAAAAAGATTTTTTTTTAAATCTTTTTTCAACAAATGTACAGCCTCCCACCACTCAGGTTTTCAACAACCAATTAGGTATCTGATAGGCGATGATCTTTATTTCACACATCCTTTTTGAAGGTGGGGACTGGACATGATAAAGTTGGACTCTACACTAGACTTCATTAAAAATACACTCAGAGAAAGGTTAAGTAGTCTTGGGGAAAATGTTTGACGAAAGCACAATGAACATGGCCACATATCAAATGATCACCTATAGGAAAAACAAACCAGACAGCCTTAAACGACCCATCACCAAGAGTGGCCACTTTTTGAGAAGACTGATGGCTAACTTTGTGAGCTTATCTCTAAGGCTGAAAACTGCTAGAGACTTGAACACTACCTGTGAAAAATGAATCCATGAATTTCATTTAAAAGCACACTTGTGACTTTTCAGTATTGCTAGGACTGCCTTCTGGAGTGGACATGTTCAGAGTCCTCTAGAAGGGTTTGACCTGAGGATCCTCAGGATGTCCTCTGTGTTGCCAATTCCATTCCCTCACCCATAGGCCAGTGTGGAAATTTCACCACACCCCAGTTTCCTGTTCAGGGCTAAGATTTGTCCTCTGCAGTTATCTTTATTAAAAAGTAAGCACACCCAGGGAGACAGAACACATTAAGCTGCTGCCAATCTCACCCTGATTAGACAATACTAGGAAAGAGCCTTTTTTTTTTCTTTTATAATTTTACTATTGAGAGTAGGACATAAAAGGGATACGAAACTGAATTTAGAATAAAAATGCAGGGATAATTTTGGATCATGCTGTCAGGTAGGAGACACACCTCCCAGAAGAACAGGGAGGAAGAGAGTTTATCTGCAGGAAGGGGGTTTATCTGCAGACAGAAATGGTGCCATAAGAAAGGGAAGCGATTAGTCAGGGAACAGGAAGAGAGACAGGGTCTCTACTTGCCCTGATGGTAGCACGTGACCCCTTCTGTTATCAGTATTCTTAACCCTGCAATTAGATTGTAAAGTATTTCTGGCCTGGGAGTAAAATCTAAATCAGTTGAACAGGTCCAAGACTTTCACTGAGTCATCTGTTTAGTTACTTTATCTACCATATTCCTGGTTCCCTCATTCCACCCCGAACCCCCTAAATTTACTTAAACTTTTCCTTTATTTAATGCCATACTTTTAATGATAGCACAATAAGGATGTCATTAGCTGGCAGTGTCGTTTGTAGGGTAATGTTATAATATCTGATATAATCCCAAGGTATAGAGACCTGCATCCACTTCTCCCCACCTGCTGCCGATAAGAATTCCACTGGAAAGGTATTAAAAAGTAGTGTGTTTCGTTCAACACATAATCAATAAAATGCAAGGGTAAAATCATGACACTCCTTGACATAGTAAAGCCTTGAAAAGTAACACAGGATATTGTTTTCTAAATACGGCACCTTAAACCTACATTTAATGATCTCTTGCTAAGGTTAGGAGGGTCAAACTCTTGAAATACTTCAAAATCCAAAGGGAATGATGGAGCTTTGTAGAAGTAACAGCCCACTCCAGCTTCTCACATATTCCTTACAAATGAGTCGCTTCCAGGGAAATCACTGGATCTGAAACACTGGAGCCGAGAGTTCCTTCTCCCATTCACCCCCTGCCCCCATCTACACAGGAGCAAGGAGATGGGTGTCCAGCCTCAAATGGTTTATTAATCAAAAGTTCTTCAAGCTGCCTAACCAAATGCTGAATTTCCAAAATTCTTTTCTCACCAGAAAAGGAATATGAATTTTGATGTCAACCCAAAAATTGGGGGCTCTTAACATTTTTTTTCAAAATCACATATAAAAGGTTCTTTATCCCTCTGGCAAATACAAAATAGTTACCCTCAGGGGAAAGGAAAACAATATTTATAGAAGATAAATGATGATGTGATATTAAGGTCCTCTGCTGGCTCACTCAAAAGGCTACTGCTTCTTACTCAAGCTGCCACAGGAAATCTATGCTAGTAGGGAGAAAAATTTCCATGGCTCAGTGATGAGACAATACCAGTAAACAATTTATTAAAGAGCCTGCCATCCATCATTGGAATTTGGAACAACAATGATACATTGAAAATAAGTATTCATCCCAAGTTTCTTTTCTTCCTCACAAATTCCTTCGGCTCCAATATCTCTTCAGTAAATTAATAGTATTTTGCTCTTAGTCTTTTTGGAAACAAGCCAAGGAAAGAGAAGGCACCAGCGGCAGCTGCCACAAACCCAATGGTACTTATTGCTCGGTTGGCCTATAAGGAAACAGGAAACAAACAAAAACACATCTTATTCTAAAAGCATCTCAGTGTCCTAAACCCCAGCTTTAGCTTGTTTCCTAAACTGAAGACCCATTTTAATGTACAATGGATGAATTTAAAACTCAATGCAAAATTAAAATTCTGTATGCAGATGAAATAAATTTCTAATTATTATAATTATGACAAAGATAGAAATACACATAGGTAGAGATCCCTCTTTTTCTTTTTTAAGAAGATGTTGGGAGTAGGAGTTTATTAATTATTTTATTTTTGCTGTGTTGGGTCTTCGTTTCTGTGTGTGAGCTTTCTCTAGTTGTGGCAAGCGGGGGCCACTCTTCATCGCGGTGCGCGGGCCTCTCAGTATCGCGGCCTCCCTTGTTGCGGAGCACAGGCTCCAGACGTGCAGGCTCAGTAGTTGTGGCTCACGGGCCTAGTTGCTCCGTGGCATGTGGGATTCTCCCAGACCAGGGCTCGAACCCGTGTCCCCTGCATTAGCAGGCAGATTCTCAACCACTGCGCCACCAGGGAAGCCCGAGATTCCTCATATTTTTATAGCTTCTGAGAGTTTACAAACTCATTATGCCACAATTCCTAATAATTGTCATAGTACCCCTGGGAGGTAGCATTACTCCTGTTTTGTAAAACTTGAGAAGTTAAAAGTGATTTGCCCGAGGGAGGTCGTACCACCAGGATGTTTAGATATAGTTTAGTCTTGAACCATGTGTTCTCCCCCTATGAAACCCCTACCCCCTAAACACATACTGGTTTGGTTGATTCTATATCAAGGTGAATATCCTGTGTGTGTGTGTGTGTGTGTATTGGTTGAGGGGTGTAGACATGATAAGAAAGTGGGAGCACTCATTCAAGAAGTCTATTAAAAAGATGACAGCATTTGGATGGACCCGTATATGTGTGTGTGTGTGTGTGTGTGTGTGTGTGTGTTCCTTGACTTCATGTCTGTTAGGAAAATAATTCAGGGATGTGACTTGAGCCCAATACCTATAGGCTCTTATTTGGTAGATACACTTTCTATCCTGATAAACAAACTTCAAGAGAAGTCAATACTGATGATAACTATCATGTCAAAAAGTAATTTCTCATGTAGACAAACGAAAATAAACCA